GTTAGTGTTTTCCGCCCATTTAGTTAAGTCAAGATTGAAACTATAAAAGGGACAGGGACCCCTGTCCCTTCATTCCCAAGAGCTCATTTCAATCAGAGATAGGGAAAGAGCAGTAAGCTGACACACAAATAAATAGCTTGATTTAGTTTAAATGAAGGAGAATGAACAAGTGAAGGGTCTCCCTGGCTGGTGGGTCGGGCTGCGCCTGGGCTCTGGCCTGGACCCCCCTGAGCTGAGCCTGTCTGGGGCTGGCCAGGCGCGGGAGAAGGGCCGGGTACAGTCTCAGGCAGGTTTCCGATCCCCCACTTAGGAGTCTGCAGTGGGAGATAAAACTGTAGGACCAGCCAGGTGCTTCTGCTGCCTGCCTTGCCTGTTCCAGAAAGATCGTCTGGGCGATCTGCCGGCGGCCGTGGGCTCAGGAGGGCCATTTCCATCCAGAGCGGACCTCCATCCCCAACTGTGGGGGTGTCTTTACCAAACAGATAACGGTTTTGTCCTTTCTTTTGACTCAAGACTTTTGGCTTTGTTCGGCTGTAAACTTTGAGACCCCGCGGAAATACAGCGGCCTATTGCAGGGATTGAGGCCGGTCCGGGCGTGGGCCGCAGCTAAGCTCGCAGCGGGGAAGGCCCGTCGCCCGGGAAACCCGGGGGGGGGCACCTGTGCGGTGTGGGCTAGACCTCCGACTCGTTCCGAAACCCGGCGAGTCGGCCGCTCAGCCGTGCAAATGAGCGTGGAGGGCGGAATGAGGCGGGGAGTGACCCGGGTTGGGGCGGCCCGAGAGAGGCAGCCGCCGCTGCCCCCCAGTGTCTGCCCTGAAACCGGGTGAGAGCTGAGCCGCCCCGCTGAGAAGCAGGGGCGGGAGCAGCAGGGACGAGGTGAGTGGTTGACAGGGGCAGGGGGCGGGGCCGCGGGGACGGGGCCGCGGGGGGCCGACAGAGGGGGCAGGGCCAGTAGAGGCGGGGCCCCGGCGGGCGGGACGGGCGGGGCCGGCTATGCAGGCGGGGCGGGGGCGTGGCCTCAGGGGCCGTGGCCGACAGGGGCGTGATTTTTCAGGGGGCGGGGCGGGCAGAGGCTGGTTCCGTCTGGGCAGGTGGGCAGGTGGGCAGGTGCTCAGGTGGGCAGGGCGGGCGGAACAGGGAGGGGCAAGTCCTCCCGGCCGGGTGCGGCGGGGAGCAGGCGCTGTGGCGGCCACAGATAATGCGCGTCAGGGGCAGGTTGCATGTGGCGTTTGGGGGGGCGGGCATGTGGGGGCAATTCAGAGACTGGAGGAAAGCGCGGGGCGGGACCTTGCTGCTGGGGCCACAGGTCGGGCGGGGAGGAGAGGGAGGTAAGTGAGGACGCGAGCCCTGCACCCCTGCGCTGACGGGCCCCTCGCGGCGTGCTGGTTCACCGCGTCTACCCCGTGAGATGAGTGGGCTTGCCTGTGCCGATGGAGAGGAAGGGGCGGCCCCCAGAAAGAGCGAGAGACTGAGATGGGGCTGGACTGCGGAAAGCAGGCAGCAGGAGTGGATGGGGGGCATCTGCGGAGGGATGGAGGGCGTCTCCTGAGGGGCTGAGGCCGGGGGAACCGGGGGCCCACCCCGACCAGGATAGGCTCTGGGAGAGCCACAGACAGGCAGCAGAGGTGAAGGAGCAGCGGGTCCCTGGACTGCATCCAGGTGAGGCGACCCGTGCTGCTAGAAGCTCCAGGGGCCATGGACCACGTGGCAGCTTGTAGGGGAGAAGCAGGGAGGGTGGGGAGCAGAGTGGAGAGGAGGGCCGGCCTGGTGGGCGACCCACCAGTGGAGCTCAGAGTTCAAGTTGAAAGTGATTTGAAACCAGTGTTCAGATCCTAGGGCCCCCGGGCAGCAAGGGCGTTATAGGGCTTTTAAAAGTCGAGTCAAGCTAATTAAAAAAAGAAAATGCCCTTCGAGCCCTTGCTGGTTTGAAGGCTGAGAAAACGACCACGGGAGCGGAGAAGCCATCCTGGGAGGTCAGAACAGAGACCTGGGCACTTGGTTGGGGCGTTGTCTCTCAATAATGATACATTTCTGGGGGCAGGATATGGTGAGTCCCGAGGGAGGACGCTGCTGGCCTCACCTTTGTTCGTCACGTCCCGGATGTTGGGACCCCCGGCTCATGGCCCGAACAGCACGTGCTTCTCAGCATACTTGTGGTTCTGGGGGATCTCCTTGCGCAGCGGCGAGGGGAGGAGGCAGCAGCAGCTCTGAGATGCCAGGCTGAGCCCCAGTCCAGGTGCATGGAGGGCAGGTGGCCCATCTGGGAGGCCCATCTGGGAGGTGCGGTTCCTGGCAGTCCTTCAGGGACAGCCCAGGGGGAGGGGCAGATGCCTGGTGCGGGGCAGGAGATTGGGGGTCTGCAATGACCAGAGGCCGGAGGAGTGGTCGTCCCCTGGGGCCGCACGGCTTCCCTCTGCCCTCTTCTGCTGCCCGCCAGTGGGTCCGCGCAGGGAGTCCTCTGAGCGCCTGGCTTGCCTCTCCTGGCAACTTCCACAGCATCTACTGTTGGAGACCCGAGCCCACTGCCCAGCCCCCCCTGGACTGGGTTTTGATGGGTGTTGGGGTGCAGGTGCCCAGTGGCAGACAGGGGTGGGGGCAGCTCTTTCTAGAACTTTCCTCTAGGCCAGGCAACAGGGACTACCCCAAAGGGGCTCCCAGGGAGCCCTCCCCTCACCTGGCAGGTGGGACCCTGGGAGAAAAAGACCTGTGTCCGGTGAGTTCCATTATTGAGTGCCTGCTGGATGCACTGTGCCTACTGCCTTCCTCATTCCCTCTGAGTCCAGCGTCTGGCCCCTGCCTGCCTGCCCCTGGCCTTACACAGATCCTCACCGTCCCAGGCTTAGAGCTTCTGCGGCCTGGGAGGGAAGCAGGCCCCCAGGACGTGGGGCAGAGGGGCAGTCTGAGGCAGGGTCCGCATAGCTGTCTGTCCAGAGAGTCCTTCTGGCTGGAGGCTCTCGGTCATCTTGTTCATGCATGCTCTGCTGTGTGCTAGGTGGGATTCCTGGCTTACTGTTGTTTATTCCTGTACCTACCCTGTCTGGTGGAAGGGCTTTATGGGCCCATCCCTGCTCCCATAACGAGCCCACCTCGGTCCCCTGGGTGCCTCCCTCAATGGAGGGGGATACAGGCTCAGAGAGAGCGATGCGGTGTGGACAGAGCAGGATTTGAACCCAGGCTGGCAGGAAGCTGCTGGCTTCTCCCCTGCCAGGAGGGTCCAAACGTCAACTTTCTTGCTGTCTTCTTACGTAGTGAGAAGGATCACAGGGGCCAGGGACGTGGGGTGAGTAGTGTGTGTCCCCCAACCTGCCTGCCCCCCAGAAACAGCCACCACCTGATTCTTCAGCTGACTTTGGAAAAGCAAAGATGCAGCCCTACGCACAACCATTGATTATAACGACCTGCATCGTTAAGAAAATATTCAGATTTAGTGCAGTGTTTATTTTTTCTAGGAAAGTGAATAGTACATTTTAATGAAGTTTTATCTCAGCAAGGATCCAGTAGTGCCCCCTTATCAGCGGGGGACATGTTCCAAGGCCCCCGGTGGACGCCTGAAATTGCACATGGGTCTGAACCCTGTGGGTACCCTGTGTTTTCCTGTGTATGCGTATCGATGGTTAAGCTTCATTTACGAATCAGGCTCAGTAAGGGAGCTCACACAGGAGCGCAGTTTAAACAACAGGCCGTCAGGGCGCCTGGGTGGCTCAGATGGTTGAGCGTCTGCCTTCGGCTCGGGTCATGATCCTAGGATCCTGGGATCGAGTCCCGCATCGGGCTCCCTGCTCCTTGGGAGCCTGCTTCTCCCTCTGCCTCTCGCTCTCTTGCTCTCTTGCTCTCTCGCTCTCTGTCTCTCATGAATAAATAAAATCTTTAAAAAAAAAAATAAAAAAATAAACAACAGGCCGTCAGAGAGGCTGTGTGAACATGGTCTCTGCCATGCTGTCTTACTGACAGTGCAAGGGGGTGACAAGCCCACGTGAGGAGGTGACCGGCGTCGGCTGGTGACAGCGTGAGGCGGCCGCTGACCTTCGGATCGCATGTCCGGAGATCAAGCCCTTCCAGCTGAGCGCGGGGCAAAGCCAAGCCAGGAAGAAGCGGGACTGTTGTATGGCAGGGGCTCTCCGTTGGAGACACTGCGTTTGCCTTTGCCCAGAATGGCTGTGGGGTCTCTGGCTGCGGGGCCTCTGGGGAGGAAGACAGTGGAGGGTCCGCCGCCTGGCCCAGCTCAGCCCCACGTGGCCCCTGCGCCCACCCGTCCCCAGTGGCCTCCCAGCTGGACTAAGACCCTTCCTGAGACATTTCCTGTTCCAGGCCCGACTCCCGCGAACCCGTCTAGCATTCTTAGGAAATGATCTAAAGCAGATGAGACCAGTGCTGGTGACAAGTGGAATACCACGCAGGACCTTCTGATGGGACCCACGCGGCATGCTCTCCGGTCTCTGGCACACAGCCCCCCCCTCGGGGGTCAGTGTCTGTGGCTTGCTTGCAGGGCCTCTGGTGACGGCCTCACAGCCGTAACCAGCTCTCTCGGGTTTCTCTCTGGGACCTCCATGCTGGTCCCCCCCAGTCCCTGCTCTCAGAAGCACCAGTGCTGCTGTGGGACTTGCAGCTTCTGCTCTAACAGGGACCCAGGAGGGTCCCTAGCCTCCAGCTGGGCAGCTTAGTGGCATGATCCTTCTCCCTCCCTCTGAAACCTTTGATGAGTCCCAGCTGCACTGCCTGGAGCTAGGCCGGTTCCCGGCTCTGGGGAGGACTTTCCTGGGCCTCACGGTTTGGTGCAGAGAGCCAGAAGACGCACGCTGGGAGGCCCCAGGCAGGCCCTCGGTCCAGCAAGGACCACAAGGCCACAGCCTCGCAGGTGCCCAGGACGCGGGCCAGGAGCATCTGGTGCCCCTGCCCCAAACAGATCTCTGCCCAGGCTGGGCTTTGGGGTCGGGTGCTGGATGCTCACAGGGACATTAATTGGCTCTCCTCTCTGTCTCTGTCCCCCATTTCCTCCCCAGGGGGGCTTTCTCTGTTGTCCGGCGCTGTGTCAAGCTCTGCACCGGCCATGAGTATGCAGCCAAGATCATCAACACCAAGAAGCTGTCGGCCAGAGGTAGGCATGGGCTGTGTTGGCGGGGTCCGGGCTCCTGCAGGCCCAGAGCTCGGCGGGACGTGAGTGGGGCCGGCAGCAGGGAGAGGGACCCATGCCCTCAAACCGGGGCTCACTCCTTGACTCTGGTTTGGGGGCTCATGGAGGGCTGGAGGTGGGGGCACTCGGAGGTCTGAAGACTTCTAGTGACCGATGCTGTGGGGCTGCCGGAACGACCCTTCCAGGTCCTCTGCACCAGGGAACAGTTTGCCAGCGCAGGGCAGGGCTCTGGGTCTGTAAGGGGTGAGTGTGGTGCTGGGCGGGAGCCGGCCCGGGCACGCGGCTTCACCCCGCCCACCTCGCCCCTTCGGAGCCCTTGCTGGGTGGCAGCCCAGGCTGGGCACGCAGATGGAACCCTGCCCTCTTGGGGTCCGACAATGTTCCGTGTGGTGGGGGTGCTACCCTGAGCAGGTGACTCTGAGTACAGACTCAAGGGGGCGAGGGGCTGGGATCTGGGGCAGGGATCCAGCAGGCCCCCCAAGGGACCTTTAGCACCGTGGGGGTCCCATGGGTCCTCCGACCCCAGGGTCAGACAGGAGGAGGCCGGGTGACCCCTGGGCAGAGAGAGTCAAGCGAGGTCCCCGGCCTGGTGCTGTCTTGCCTGCCAGGGGACCCCCATTTAGCATTCAGACACAAGCCTGAGCTGAGAGGCTCCTTCTCTGGCCAAAGAGGCGCTGAGCTTAGCATTGCTGGCCTGGACCCTGCCTGAGACTGTGGGGTCCAGTCTGTGGGGTCTGCAGGTCAGTCCAGTGGCCTGCTGGGCACGCAGGTGAGCCCACCCTGTGCGATTTCTTCAGGCCTTAGTGTTTCCAGGGGTGGGCACTCCTGTCCCAGCTCACGGTGAGGGGCCTACAGTGCCTAAGTGGGTCAGTCCCATGTCCTCAGAGCTTGCTGCCCTTGTTGGGGCCTGAGGGCCGTGTGGGGGATGTGAGCAGGGAAACTCTGGGCAGATCCAGAAGCATAAGCTCCCAACCGTCCCTTGAAGACAAAGGACCTTTGGGAGCTGCTTGGGGGACTGTAGTGGGCTCTGCTGGCCTCAGTGGCCTGGCCGTGGTGGCCGGGCTGGGAGGGGGAATGCTGTGGATCTCCAGGCGACTCTGTGAGCCAGAGCAGCCCCCGGGCACGTGTGCCTGGATGAGGTGCTGCCGCTGAGCGTGTCCTGATGCATGCAGGCATGCACGCACGCACGGCGCTCCTGGAGAGCAGGGGAGCTCCCGAGATCCCTGACACTGGGTGGGGGCACTGGTGGGTGCTGGCTTGCACTGGTTTGGGAGGATATGTGTGCAGGTGTGGAGTCCCTAAGGCAGGAGGAACATAGGCTTTTTCCAGGCCACGGGAGGAGGAGAGGGAGCCCCCCTCAGATGTCCCCGAGACCGGTGAGGGAGCCCCTCCCACGTGCCTGGCACTGAGCAAACATCCACATGAGCCACTGCAACTCCATGTGTGTGACATGAGCACAGGGGAGGGCGTGGAGCAGTAGGAGGGTCTTGAGGGATGAATAGGAGTTTGTGAGGCTCAGGCAGAGAAGGATGTGGGTATGTTTCTGTGGAATCATGCAGCTCCTCTGAAGTACTCTCACCCCCCCACCGTGGGGACCCTCAAAGTGGTCTACAGGTAGGGAGGGTCAGGACCAGCAGAAGCCTAAAATTGCAGGTGTGTTGGGAGAGTACCACCTGCTCATTCTGCCCCTGCAGGAGCGCACCTGCTCGCCCCTTCCTGACCGGATGGCCTGCTTTGCTGCCTCCGTGTCCCTGAGGCCAGGTCCCTGGAGCCCCTGCCAGTGGTGCGGCTGGGGAGCTGTGCAGAGCCTGGGGCTCCTGTCAGCCCTGCTCCGGGCCCATGTCCTCGCTGGGCACAGCCTGAGATGGGTGGCGGGAGCAGGGCTGCGGGGCCTGTGGGGAGCCAGAGCGGCTGGGCCGCCCCATCCTGCCTTCCCTCGGGACGGGGCGGGGGGGGCCCTGCTGCTTTGCCCCCCATGCTCAGGCCTCTGCACTGCCCAGCACTAGGGGGTCTGGGACATTTTTGTTTCCTGTGTCACTCTTTATGATGGAAATTTTCAAAATCCCTAAATATAGAGAAAGTGACAGAATGATCCCCCAGCTTCAACAGCTATCGACTCTCAGCCAATTTTGCTCCATCTGTAACCCCCCCCGCCCCCATCCCGCAGCGCATCCCATACGGCCTGTCATTTTGCACATGGTGTTCAGCATGTTTCTCTGACGGAAAAGCAGTCTATAGACAACTGGTCGCCTCCCCCTGTGCGGGGATCTCGGGGGTCTCGGACCCTCCGCAGCCCCTCCCGGCCTTCCTCGCTGAGGGGGCTAGTGGGAGGGAGGGAGGGGACAGGGTCTCCATGTGGACTCTCACCTTCATGCTGAGTGTGGGCCAGCGCTCGGCACCCCCCGCCCCCCCGTGCCTCAGTGTCCCCAGCCCTAATAGGGATAAAATTACTGTGTGCTTGTTTCCAGCGTGCAGGGAGTAGCGTGCTTAGGAGCGGCCCACAGGCACAATGCTGCCCGAGACCTCCTCTCTCTGCCTCGCTCCCCTGCTGGTCACCCAGCCTGCAGGCCCCGGGCCCCCTCCTCCGTGAAGCTGCCCGGGTCCTCCCGCACAGCTCAAAAAGCCCCGAGCCTGAAGGCATTTCTCCACTGACCGCTTGCTCCTGGAGGGCACTTGCAGCTCTGGGCCCTTCCTGCTCCCAGCCCTCCGTCAGGCTGCTGGGCTGGCTTCTGTAAGCCCCAGGTTCTCGTCTGGCCCCATCTTCTCCCTCCCACTAACTCTCCCCAGGCCCTTGGCTTCTTCCAGTGCCTCACGTCCCTGGGGCCTTTGCACGCATGTGTTCTCTCTGGCAACGCTTTTCCCAAACTTTCCGTTGATGACATTTCCTCGGACGAGTCTGCCCTCAGCCTCCAGTGGAATCTGGGACCCAAGCACCCCGTTTGTACTTTATGGCTGTCTTTCCCACCAGACTTCTGGGCCCTGTGGGCAGGGCCTTGATCTGCTTGGTTCACCGCCATGTCTCGCACACCCTGGTGGTGAGCGCTCCAGATATTGGTGTTGAGGGGACGAACACATGCTTTGAGTGGATGCATTTTGATGAGGGGCACGTACGGTGTATGCAGGAGAGGGGTTAGGCTCCCAGGTGTGAGGCCAGGGTGGGGACGGGGATGGAGGGTGTCTAGAGGGTTGACTGCAGTGTTGGGTCTGCGGGGGAGGCCCCCGGTCATCTGGACGCTCAGACACCTGAGCATTGGGGAGGTGCATTTCTGTGGAGGGGAAGCAGGGAGGCAAGGCCTCGCGGCCACTCTGCAACCACACCCCGCAGGATCGCAGAACATGTCCTGAGCAAGGGCTCCCAGCCTGCTCTGTGGCAAGCGCCAAAGCAGCTCCCTTGCCAGGAAGACCATTTCTGAGATCTGTGCCCAGCTGTCCTTCTGGGAGGAGGGTGGAGAGGGGGCCGCGGGCTGTAGGGGCTATAGAGTGTAAGGCTTGCTGTGTCATTGAGGAGGGGACTGTGGGGCACTCAGGGTCTGTGAACACACTGAATTACTGAAGTACTGTTAACAGAGGCAGTTCCAGGGAAATTAATTGGCTGGGGTAAGGTGGTCATTGGGCGTGAGAGTCTTAAAACCACGTCTTGTTGGCCGCCCCCCCCCCCATTGTCGGCACCAAGTGGCTGCTCTTGGGGGCAGTTTTGCTGGCTTTGGAGGGCATGCTGCGGGCATGAGCCCCAAGCACCCGGAAAGCAGGGGCTGGCAATGACCCTGGGTGGCGGCTAAATGTTGGGGAGGAAGGACCTGCCGAGGAAAGGGGCCTGGGGCAGCGATCATGTCCTGACCTTCAGCAGCACCGCATCTTCACACGGCTTCTCAGAGACCTTCCTCACCCCCCGAGGTCGGACTGGGCACGCCCGTTTCACAGACGAGAAAACCGAGTCCTACCGAAGCACAGACTTGATCAGGTACCCAGAGCTGTGCTGAGCAGAGCCTGGGGCAAGGGCGGCTTTAGGTTTCACCCAGCTGAGGGGGCTGACTGGGGTCAGGCATGGGGCTGACCTCACAGGTGAGGGGCTGACCTCACAGGTGGGGCTCACAAGTGGGGTTCATCTCATGGGTGGAGGGGCGATCTCTAGATGAGGGAATTGAGTGAGGAGATCAGGCCTCACCTCTGGGCCTCCTGCGACGCCCCAGCTGATGCCCAGCTCACCCCCAGGTCCCTTCCTGGGTCAGCTGGGCAACCCTCTCCCTAGGGTCCGTGTGGCCCCATGTGCCTTGGGGCGCCCCTGCGCGAAAGCATGATGGGGAGGAGTGAGCCCGACCCCCTCTCCCCAGAGAAACCTGAACCCGCCCAGGCCCCCTTCGCACAGCCGGACCGGGGTTTTGCCGCCGCGGGGACCCCCATGACCCCACAGCCCGGAAGACGACCCGGGCTCCGCGGAACGGAACTGGGTTAACGGAGGACGCGGCGCCGCATTGCAGGGGCTGCTGAGCATGCGCGGCCGGCGCCCCTCCCTCCCCCCTTCTCCTCCCCTGTGCTCCGAGGCGGGGGCCCCTCCCCACCGTCCCCTCCCCTCCCTCCTGGCCCCCCCTCCTCTCCCATCCTCTTCCCTCGTCCAGACCCCTCCGCCTTCCCGTCTCAAAGGGTCCCCGCGGGCTCAGAACCCCTCCCCTCCCTCCTGCCTACTCCCCTCTCCTCCCCACTCCCCTCCCCTCCTCAGCTCCGGAACAGCTTCCCTCTCCTCTGCTCCGGCTCCCCTCCTGACCTGGGCACCTCCTCCGCTCCGCGGGAGCCTCCTCCCTGGCTGCTTGGAACCCCCTCCCCCGCCCACCCCCCTGGGGCCTGAGCAAGGGCCTTAGAGTGTAAGCCGGTCCCAATTTCAGATAAACAGTGTTTTTTTTAGAATAAGTATGTCCCAGACCCCCAACCAACTTTCAGTCCACTCTGCCCTCATGTTGAGGATCCAG